GGTCGTGCTGTGACCTGGTGCTGCTCCCACGTCCCCTCCGCAGCTTGGGTCACAGTCATGACCCTCTCATCTCTCCACCGCCTACCCAGCCACCTCTCCGCCCCTTGCAGGCTGCGTGTCTCTCCACCTCTGAGAACTTTCTGACACGCTCCGCCGTGTGTCTTTTCGCCCCACTTGACCTGCTGATGGGCAGCGGGCACTGGCTCTTTCCGTTCATGTGTCCCTGCCAGAATGACCAGCAGTTTGGAAGCCCGCGTCCCCGAGTGGCTGTGCAGGAGAAAGACCTGCTGATCTTTTCCATGGAGATCACAGCCCAGCAAACCCTACGGGGCCATTCTGCGCTGTTGGGTGGGGTCACCATGTCAGAACCTGCGCGAGCACCCAATGACAGTTCATGCGGGAGGCCTAAAGCCGGCCCTGCGTCTCCGCTACATGTGGTTTCAGCTGGTTCTGAACTTCTGACCACCAACACGGCCCAGCTGGTTCCCAGCTGAAAACATAATTTGAATGTCTCTGTATTTTAGAGACAAAGAGCTAAGCAAAAACCACGGACCTCAGTATTTTCTGGACCTTTGGTTACTACGGTGTGGCGAGGACAGTAGAACTCAGAGTGGTCCGTTTTAGAAAAAGAAACTGGTTGATAATTAGGAAGTTGACCAGATGTATGGGAGCTGATGCTGTTTTGAGACAATTTTATTACACTCAAGTTTTGTGGACTTCGATCTACTGGCTAAGAAATCAGAAATTCCAGCATGTTGGCGTCAACATTAGCCACGTAAAACTGTGATGGCTGCAGATTTTGCTGAGTTATATGCTCTTTATTTTACACAGTTGCAAGCCATCATCTTTTCATTGTTGTGTTGTTGACAGGGTCTCCTAGGCTGTCAGTCTTCATGGAAACAGATCACCAAGTCTTTCTCCCATAAGCCAGTGGGTAGGTTCAAACCCCCAGCCTATTGGTTGGCAGCTGAGTGCTTACCCGTTGCGCCCCCAGGGCTCCTTATCTTTTGATTGATGTGTGGTTAATAATGAGTAGATGTGGTGGTGCCCTGCCTAAGGCATTTGACTGCTAACTGAAATGTTGGTGGTTCAAACCCACCAGCCACCCGTGGAAGGATAACTGGGCAGTCTACTTCCATAAAGATTTACTGCCTCAGAAACCCAAAGAGGGTTGCTGTGAATTGGAATCGAGTCTTTGGCAGTGAATTTTTTAGTTTAATGATGCCTAGTTGATCTGTCCAGGGTTAGGGACATAGTGGAATGAATCAGTGCTACTGTTTAACACTTGTTATCCCCATCCCACTGCCTTCTGTCATCACAGGTGGGCTCAGGTACTTCCTGCCTCTTAAGATTCCTGTCAGGCAGATCCCCCGTCTCTCTGTGTCCCTCTTCATAGTAAATTATCCTAACAGTAGTGCATCCTCAGGTCAGCTCAGGCAATGTGGTGTGATTAGAACAGGTTAAGGGTAGGTAGGAGGAGCCCTGGTGGCACAATGATTAAGCACTCAACTACTAACCAAGAGGTTTGCAGTTTGAACCCACCCAGTGGCTCCACAGGAGAAAAACTTGGTGATCTACTTCTATACAGACTATGTAAACCCTGTGGTGCAGTTCCACTCTGTCCTCTAGGGGCGCTGTGGGTCAGAATCAACTCCACGGCAGTGGGTGTGGTTTGGGCTTTGCTTCTGTGAAGACTGACAGCCTTGGAGACCCTGTGGTGCAGTTCCACT